ACTGCCCTGACGAATGTCAGGAGCAAGGTCTGCCGTGTCTCATCGCTCAGGCAGCAGATAAGTCCTTCGACAGGGAATGTTTCAATAACAGAGCGGATTGCGAGGAAAAGGCTAATAACATCGCGGGTTGTGTGGAAAGGGACTTCCCAACCGTAGGCGGAATGGACAGTTGGATCTGGTTCGAAAGGACCAGACCAAGACCAACACCACAGCCAACACCGCAGTCCGATGAACACTGCAAAGTTTGGATGATAGCAGGAATGATCCAAGCCGGTGTGTCCGGCATATGCATCTTACTCTACATATTGGTGAAAGTGGTGACGGCCTTACGCATGGGCCAATACGTGGCCATAATGGATCGACCAATAGATAATCCCTATCATGAAACAACAGAGGACATCGAATAAAGGATTTATGCGGTAATGGCATCCTCCTAATAGAGGGAGATTAAAATCAAGAATACTCATACTCAAACATAACTCTGGTATGCCCAAGCAGTTAACTTACAACATGGTAACGGACAACAGAACTTAAAAGATAAAGCGTTTATTAATACGAATGCTCTGGAGTTAATCGAAAGTTATATACCATTCATAACCGTCACAGGACTCGGCCTCGTATTTGAGGCTGACAAGGTCGAAGACAATTTCGATGTTAGTTTTGTACGCGATCAGTCTGCGCAAATTCTGCGGCTGACTGAGTTGCCGAATGATACAGGCCTGATCCGAGACCGATCGACAGACGACGACACGCGTGACAGGGGAACACGTCAGTCTTGAAAAAGTGAAAATTCGGCGGAAATTGTCCTGGAAGTCGCTCCTGCTCGGGTAAAGATCAACTGAGGTAGAGTCGGCTGTAGTAGTTTCAATGACGACCGTTGAAGACGTCGCAAGCGTTTCTCCGGAATCCTGAAGTTTAGGGAGGATTGGGTCCCGGGTTGGAGCCGAGATTGGGTCCGACATTTGCGTCGTAAATTTCCCTAACAATCGAACAGCAAAATAGGATGAAAATCGAAAGCGTGGTATAGATAGTCACAAAGATCAAGCGGATGGCGTTATGCATTGGAGAAAGTCTCTTGGGCTCACCGATGGCCGAAAAATAAATTGTATAAGCGCCACAGATCATGATGGCCACGAAGGATCCGTAGACGAGTGCAAGGAGAAGATAACCGGGGAAGGAGGTGCGCTGGCGAGGACGCCTGCCTCCACGCAGAACCCCCTCTTCCATCATGTTGTTGAGACTTGCGGCACGATGCATCATAAATTCAGAGAACAGAAGATCTTCCTCCGCGGCGGACTTCACCGAGCTTCCTCCTGGCCCCGGGGACGAGCGATGGATAGCACTGCGATCAAACAGCAGTGAGTCACGCCGTGACCCACGAGAGGATGACCGGGAAACTGGACTGGAAGATAGACCGACGGGTCTAGAACCAATGGAACTCGGTCGATCGCCAACTGAACCAGGGTCCGCCAGTGCGCTGGTTGGGCGGTCCCGAGGAGGGTCAATCCACAATCCGCGGTCTACTGATGCAACTGAACAAGACGCTCCTTCGGGTCTAAAACAAGGAGTAATCTCAGAGGAAAGACCAGTGGAAAAACCTGCATTAGCGAAACAAATCTGGATGAACTCGAACTCACGGAGCGGAGGCAGACCGGATATTTCTATGCCTAAAGACAATGTCGCTCCCGGCTGAAGGGGAATGAGATAGGCAATCCCGTTGAGGTTCGATGAGTACAAACTGTGGAGAGTTTGCTCTATGCTTGTCGGCGTTCTGGTAAGAACCATCCAGAGCGCAAGCTGAGACTTCTTCCCGTGGCTCTTCAGGAGAAGGTCGCGCTGCTTTCTCTGAAGCTGAGAAAGCCGTGCAGTGTAGTAGGACTCCAGCCACCTGCTCGCTGGATTCGTCGCTGTCACCACACGCTGGATCACGGTCTTGTCGATAAGAGACTGTAGGTTCGAAATCCGCGTGTTCGCTTCGTCCACTACGGAGGTAGTATTGGTGACCGCTGGTGGAGGACTTACTTTTCGACTGCTTCCGTTTGGGCGGCATGCCATCCCGAAGTGATATCATCCACAAAGCTGGGGAACGTTTTATAGGAAAACGTACTCTGCGGCGGCACGGTCGCCTGTCATCATCGGCGGCCGCTCCAATACCGAGTCGGAAAAGCAAAATAGACGCACCAAAATTCGATCTGACTCGAGCTCGGAAACAACACTGCGACACTTCAAGCTAAAACATCCACGAAACAGGAACCAAGGGATGTTGTTTCAGAGCAGCGGACATTCGGCCGACACGGAATCAAGAGCATAGAAAAATAAAGGAATCAGTGGAAAAACTCGGAAGGCGAAGCTCAAAGTACAAAGCTAGAAGAAATCTGGAAAACGCACTAATTTGGACCGTCGCTTACTCGCGTCAATTGACAAGTTGTCTAAACAAAAGAAAA